CGGTTTGTATTGTGCATATTGAACCAACCAAAATTTTGTCCCAATCAAATTGAAAATGAGCATAATTAATTGGTTTATTCTGATTGGTTAACTAAATCATTCTAAATCATCGAAATAATTTGTTATTTATATTAAGATTATATTTAATGTCTTAATAATGTTATTTACTATTTCTTATATTATTGTTGGTTAAAAATATCAGGTTCGGTTGGTTTCGTTATTTATTCGGGCGATCTTATAGTCGTAATAAAGTGCAAATTTTATTTTATATAGTGCAATGGATGTTTTATAAAGTGCAAAGTGTTGATGTTTAAAGTGCACTCCTACATTTGATATGTTAACATGCTTGCATTTTGTTTGGACAAATGATGTGATGTGTGCTAAAATATTATGTAGATTAATTTTTGAGATTTACGTTGTGTGGTATTTTGGTGGGAACTATTAACGTTAATCGTGGAGTGTGACGATAGAATGTAGCTTATTGTGTTTATAAAGTGCAACGTGTTATTTTATAAAGTACAACACGTAATTCTATAAAGTGCGCTAGTTTATACGATCCCGGATAAGTTATGTGTATTCAAAAGCTAGTTTTAATAGATATAATTGTACATTGAATTGACATAAATACTTAAAAATACTTATTATTTATTATTATAAATTATATTCAGTATTAAACTTAATATTTTACATTATTGTTTGTTGAAAATAAATAATATATGTATGTTGGAATATAAAATAATTTAGTTATATAGTTCAATCAGTTTTTTTATTTTATTTTTATTTTTTATTTATAAAAATATTTGAAACCGAAACGAACTAACCAGAATTTTAATATATGTGAAATGCCCAATGTGGTGTTAGTGTGAGTTCTCGAATGTATTAATGTAGGCTATGTCTAACATTATTGTGAAATGTGATAGACACCAACGTGAACTAACCGAAACAAGTTTATTTGTTTAATATTTTATTTCTTATTGTGAAACTATTTTTTTTATTTATATCAAAATCATATTTAATATGTTAATAATTTTATATATTATTTTTATATTATTTTAGG